GTGCAGGACAGTCAAGTTCCTCCACCCCAAACTGGCTCCTCCATGTCTTTATGGACCTTGCTTTGTGCACTGGTGGGCAGTCATGTTGGAACAGGAAGGGGCCATCCCCAAACTCTTCCCACAAAGTTGGGAGCATGAAATTGTCCAAAATGTCACCTTAAGAGTTCCCTTCACTGGAACTAGGGGGCCAAGCCCAACCCCTGAAAAACAACCCCACACCATAATCCCCCCTCCACCAAACTTTACACTTGGCACAATGCAGTCAGGCAAGTACCGTTCTCCTGGCCACCGCCAAACCCAGACACGTTAATCGGATTGCCAGTCAGATAAGTGTGATTGATCACTCCAGAGAACACATCTCCTCTGCTCTAGAGTCCAGTGGCGGCGTGCTTTACACCACGGCATCCGACGCTTTGCATTGCACTTGGTGATGGAAGGCTTGGATGCAGCTGCTCGGCCATGGAAACCCATTCCATGAAGCTCTCTACACACTGTTGTTGGGCTCATCTGAAGGCCACACCAAGTTTGGAGGTCTTTAGCTATTGACTCTGCAGACAGTTGGTGATTTCTGCGCATACGCACTCACCAAGCTTAAGACCTACAAACTTGGTGTGAGCGGGGTCAGTGCATGCTGATGCGCACAGTGCGCAGAAGTCACCAACTGTCTGCAGAGTCAATAGCTAAAGACCTCCAAACTTGGTGTGGCCTTCAGATGAGCCCAACAACAGTGCGTAGAGAGCTTCATGGAATGGGTTTCCATGGCCGAGCAGCTGCATCCAAGTCTTCCATCACCAAGTGCAATGCAAAGCCTCGGATGCCGTGGTGTAAAGCACGCCGCCACTGGACTCCAGGGCAGTGTAGACATGTTCTCTGTAGGGACCAATCACACTTCTCTGTCTGGCAATCCGATGGACATGTCTGGGTTTGGCGGTTGACAGGAGAACGGTACTTGCCTGACTGCACTGTGCCAAGTGTAAAGTTTGGTGGAGGGGGGATTATGGTGTGGGGGTGTTTTTCAGGGGTTGGACTTGGCCCTTTAGTTCTCTTTGTTCTGTAAAACGTTCTCTTAGTTTAGTTTTGCAGGTCGTTCTCTCTCTTGTAGTTTCCGTTCCTTTAAGGAAGTGGCCGTTTTACGCAACCGATCGGGTTTACTAGGAATCGCCGTGGTTTAGTAACCCGTGACATCCCGCAGAGGAGATCAGTCGGAGGAGTTTGGCAACTTCTGCTTTTTTAGAATTCTTGCATAACCATCCAAACAGCGTCCTTTATACAACGCTAGAAATACATCTAGAGTCACCTAGGGGGTGTCGGGGATCTCATGTCTATGTTAGGCTAGGCTCACATCTATGCGTGTTGGTAGACACCCACAGAAACGCGTTGCCCTTCAGCAGACGCACGGCGGTGCTATTGATGGTGTCAATGATGGTCAATGGCACCCCATACATCTACAAACATGCGCATTTTCACACCTGCCAAATTGCATGGTGCCGCAGCACCATGCTGTACGGTGCGGGGGAGAAAGGCCCAGATTGGCCATAGGGCACACTGGGCATTTGCCCTGTGGGCTGGGGCCGCCTGGATAGGAGGGGCGGCCGGGCAGCACATAGAGGAACCGGACCGTGCATTTCTCTCCTGCTGCCACTGAATGCATGCTTCTCCTCCTCTCCCTCCTGCAGGCATTCAGTGGCGGCAGGAGAGAAATGCACGGTCCGGTTCCTTTATGTGCCGCCCCTCCTATCCATCCCCTGCTGCCCTGGGCTCCTGTATGCTCCCCTGCAGCCACCCCTTCCTCATCTCCTGCAGCACTTCTGCGCGTTCTGTCAGGATAGACTGTCCCTTGTGCTGACAGTCCCCCCCCACCACCATAAGCAGGGGAGGAGAGAGAAACCTGGTTCTGCCCCTCCCCCTCCCGCCCTCTCCTCCTGTATCTGCCCCGCCCACACTCCCTGGCAGTCTTGTGTCTTCTCTCCCCCCTTCTTTCTTTCTTTTCTCTTTTTTTTTTCTTTTCTTTCTTTCTTCCTTCCTTTCTCTGTCTCTCCTTCTTTCTTTCCTTCCTTACTTCCTTTCCCTGCATCTCCTTCCTTCCTTCTTATCTCTCCTTCCTTCCTTCCTTTCTCTGTCTCTTCCTTCCTTCCTTCCTTCCTTCCTTCCATTCTTCCTTCCTTCCTTCCTTCCTTTCCCTGTCTCTCCTTCCTTCCATCCTTCCTTCTTTCCTCTCTCCTTCCTTCCTTCCTTCCTTCCTATATCTCTTTCCTTCCTTCCTTCCTTCCTTCCTTCCTTCCTATATCTCTTTCTTTTCCTTCCTTCCTTCCTTCCTTCTTCCTTCCTTCCTTCTTTCCTTCCTTCCTTCCTTCCTTCCTTACCTTCCTACCTTCCTTCCTTTCTCTCTCTCCTTCTTTTCCTTCCTTCCTTCATTCATTCCTTCCTTCCTTCCTTCCTTCCTTCCTTCCTTCCTTCTTTCCTATATCTCCTTCCTTCCTTTCTCTGTCTCTCCTTCTCCTTCCTTTCCCTGTCTCTCCTTCCTTCCTTCCTTCCTTCCTTCCTTCCTTCCTTCCTTCCTTCCTCTGTCTCTCTCTCCTTCCTTCCTTCCCTGTTCTCCTTCCTTCCTTTCCTTCCTTCCTTCCTTCCCTTCCTATCTCTCCTTCCTTCCTTCCTATCTTCCTTCCTTCCTTCCTTCCTTCCTTCCTTTCCTTCCTTCCTTCCTTTCCCTCCTTCCTTCCTTCCTTCTCTCTCTCCTTCCTTCCTTCTTCTCTGTCTCTCCTCCTTTCTTTCTTTCTTTCTTTCTTTCTCATCAAAGCTCCAACGGGTTCCTACAAAAAAAAATACAATATAAAATTGTAAAAAACCCCCCCGAAAAATCTACAGACACTATTGGCGTTCCGCCAGGGTCACAAAGTTCGCTGGTCTTCCACCACCAGACTCCAAGGAAAGGGTCCCTGGGCGTGGGGCTGCTCAGTCCAAAATGCCCGGGCCTATTTTTCCCATCCCAGGAACAGTCAGAGGAGAAGGATGTCACCAGCACGCCGTGGATCTCCAATGTGGATCCAAAGCCCATGAAAGGTACTAGGGGGATCTCATGGGCCCCCTACTAACCCAGTGCCCGAATGGTCAGTCCGCCCCTGATAGCGCCAACAGTTTGCTCAGCGCTTTGCAATATAAAAAGAGACAATACAGCAACGAAACGGTTCAATACAAGAGCGTTAGGAGGGCCCTGCTCCTTGGAGCTTGCAATCTATCTTTTTTTGTGTTTTTTCCGCCCACTGAATTTAATGGATGCAAAATACACACAGATGCCCCTTTCCACCAGATATGATCTCCCTGCATTGCCTAGAGAAGCACAGAGACCCAGTGAGTCTAAAATCAGATACGTAATGCAAATGGAAAATCTCATTGGCATGCTGATGGGGGGGGGGGGTTGGAACCAGGAAAGGCAAAATATAAATAGCCTGATCTTCGTTTTTTTAAAGATTTGAAGTCCCGCCTTGGATCTCTGAAATGCCCGTGTTGTGTATTGAGAAGCGTTACCCAGACAAGACGCGTTGCGTCCGACACGCAGGATGCAGGAAAGACTTCCTGTTTCAATCGCTGTTCAAACAAACTTTTATTATGTCGGACGCGACACGGCACAGAAGGGAGAGAAGAAAAAAAATCCTCCCATTGTGTCCTCAGGTGCGGAGAATTCTTTGAGGGCTTTTGTATATCAGAGTTCGAAAAACTGGTTTGACCGTCCCGGAAATTATATTCCAGAATCCCCCCCCCCTCCCCATCATGGCCCTGGCCTGGTGCTGGGGAGGGTCCCCAGTTCTGGGCCAAAAAGATAAGAGGAGACAGATTAGCCATAGGAAGCCTCTACTTAACTCCCGAAGTGCCACAGCCGCTGACCACTGCAGAGTCAGACAAATGTACAAAGTGCAGCGAGCCAATCAGAATGCACCTTTTGTCTGTCTTGATTTAAAGGGGAAAAAAAAAATGTTTTGGGCATTAGATATACTTCAACATGAACAACTGTATCAAAAAGAAAAAGTATCATTTATGCTTTTATTAATGGGTTCCTCCCAGGGGTGGACTGACCATTTGGGAACTCAGTCACTGCCCGAGGGCCCGGGGTCAGAAGGGGGCCCCATGAGATGCCCCTGGTACCTTTCATAGGCTTTTTTGGGTGTGGTTTGAGTGTGGGCAAGGACACAGGGGCCCCATGATCCCTTATTGCTCGGGGGCCCCATGAGTAGTCAGTCCGCCTCTGGTTCCTCCATATTGGTTCTTGGTGTACAAAAAAGTGACTATTTTTATCTCCAGCTCGTATTTCATATTCATGGTTTCCTCCATATTGGTTCTTGGTCTTCAAAAAAGTATCTATTTTTATCTCCAGCTTGTATTTCATGTTCATGGGTTCCTCCATATTGTTTCTTGGTCTTCAAAAAAGTATCTATTTTTATCTCCAGTTGTATTTCATGTTCATGGGTTCCTCCATATTGGTTCTTGGTCTTCAAAAAAGTGTCTATTTTTATCTCCAGCTCGTATTTCATATTAATGGTTTCCTCCATATCGGTTCTTGGTCTTCAAAAAAGTGTCTATTTTTATCTCCAGCTCGTATTTCATGTTCATGGGTTCCTCCATATTGGTTCTTGGTTTTCAAAAAAGTGTCTATTTTTATCTCCATCGTATTTATTCCCTCCATATCGTATTTCAAAAAAGTGTCTATTTTTATCTTCGTATTTTTCATGGGTTCCTCCATATTGGTTCTTGGTTTTGTGTCTTTTTATCTTTTTTCTCCATATTGGTTCTTGTTCTTCAAAAAAGTGTCTATTTTTTATCTCCAGCTCGTATTTCATATTAATGGTTTCCTCCATATTAGTTCTTGGTCTTCAAAAATGTGTCTTGTCTATTTTCATCTCCAGCTTGTATTTCATATCTGTATCTCTGTCTTTCCCTAGGAGGCCATGGAGGCGTTCAGTTCTAAAGACCTCGCCCTCCAGGCGCAAAAGAAGATCCTGAGTCGCATGGCCAGCAAGTCCGTCGTCAACATGTTCATCGACGAGACCAGCAGTGAGGTTCTAGATGAGCTGTACCGCGTCTCAAAAGAGTACACCAAAAACAAAGCTGAGTCTCAGAAGGTCATCAAGAACCTGATAAAGATCGCTGTGAAGATCGGCGTCCTATACCGCCACAACCGGTTCAGCCCTGAGGAACTGGTGCTGGCTGAGGACTTTAAGAACAAACTGCATAACGGAGCAATGACCGCCATCAGTTTCTACGAAGTAGACTTTACATACGAGAAGGACGTGTTACCGGAGATCCTCATGGAATGTAAGAACTTGCTCCTCCGCCTCGTTGACAAACACTTGACTCCCAAATCCCATGGCCGCATCCAACACGTCTTCAACCACTTTGCAAATAAGGATATGCTTGGCCAGCTATACGACCCGCAGGGGTCTATGAGGCCCCACTTGCAGAAGATTTGCCATGGAATGAACAAATTGATTGATGAGGGAAAATTATGATGGACAGCATGGTCAAAATTACCACTATTCCAGATTGGCTGGAATGTCCAGGTGCTTGAACCGGTATTTACTGCTGAACTGAAGAGGTTCCCATTTTTTGGGGACAGAAAGTTCTGCTAATTAAAACCACCAGTGTCACGTAGCCATTTTGTGTTCTTCTTGCACAGGCCTTCTTAAAAGACCAAAAACAAAAAGCCACCTTTGTAAAACCGTAGCAGATGCATCTCTTTCTACCTTGAGGACATTACTTATTGGAGGTTGAGCAAGCAAGACACTGTGGTGTTTGAGTTTCCGAATCCTCATTACAAAGAGTTCTTTAATGGTTGTAAAATCTCATGAACTGGATTTTATGGTCAAATCCACCAGTTTCACGTGACAGTTTTGTGTTTCTTCTGCACTAACCTTCCTAAAAGACCAAAAATGAGAAGCTACCTTTGAAAAACCAAAAAGGGAGATCCATGTTTTTCTACCTTGAGGAACATTGTGGTGTTTCAGGTTCCTAATCTTCAACCTTTAATGGTTGTAATATCTAATGAACTTGTAGATTTCACCCATGTTACATGACAGTTTTGTGTTGTTTCTGCACGGGCTTTCTTGAAAGACCAAAAACGAGAAGCCACCTTGACCAAAAACGAGAAGCTACCTTTAGAAAACCTAGAGGGGGTTTGCATCTTTTCCTACCTTCAGGAACGCTGTGGTGTTTCAGGATCTGACTCTTCAATACAAGGGTCCCTTTGTGGTCGTAAAATCTCAGGAACTTGTACATGTTATGGTCAAAACCACCAGTGTCCTGTCACCATTTTGTGTTTCTTCTGCACAGACCTTCTTAAAAGACCAAAAACGAGAAGCCACCTTTGAAAAACCAAAAAATGGAGATGCAATTTTTCCTGCCTTGATGAACACTGTGCTGTTTCAGGCTCCTAATCTTCAACATGAAGCGTTCTTTAGTGGTCGGAAAATCTCATGAACTTTTATGGACAAGACCACCAGTGTCATGTGACTTTATGTGTTTCTTCTGCACAGGTCTTTTTTTAAAAGACCAAAAATGAGAAACCACCTTTGGAAAACCAAAAAGGGAAGAAGCATCTCTTCACACCTTGAGGAACATTGTGGTGTTTCAGGTTCTGAATCTTCAATACGAAGACTTCAATAATGGTCGGAAAATATCATGAACTTTTATGGACAAGACCACCAGTGTCACGTGACTTTATGTGTTTCTTCTGCACAGGTCTTTTTTTAAAAGACCAAAAATGAGAAACCACCTTTGGAAAACCAAAAAGGGAAGAAGCATCTCTTCCCACCTTGATGAACATTGTGGTGTTTCAGGTTCTGAATCTTCAACACGAAGAATTCAATAATGGTCGTAGAATCTCATGAACTTGTAGACTTTATGGTTGCTGTGTAGCTACATTTTTTTATGACCACCGATTTACTCCATACGTGACTGCAAATAACTTAGGGAATACTTACTTTTTTGAATTATGCCACCCAGTTTGAGGTTCTGTTTACACATTTTAATGTCTGCATGTGGCATGTTTGAAAACTAGATGGTGTTCAACTTGCAGAGATTTGGTACAGATATAGAAGTGCTTGAATTTCGCTGTTGGGTGCAATGGAGAATGGAGGCGCCTTCAGAACAAAAATAGTGAATAAGCAAGATGTTTGAGATCTGTTTTTACCTGAAAACCAAACCAGAACTGGTATACAGGCTGTGTCATCTCTGATGTGAAAAATACGTAAAAAATGTATAACGGTTAAGATATTCTTTACAATTTGCCCACTTTAAAGTAATCTTAGGAGGACTAAATTGCTATTGTTGACCTTCTAAAAATGCTAGTTGCCTGGTTGGCAAGGTACAAGTATGGGAATCGGAGCAAAGTTGTAAGGCCTTATGCACATATTTTCTCCAGGTGAACGACTCAAATTATGGAAACGAGAGGGTCAACCAGCCAACTGGAGAGATCATCTATAGCGGCCTCCATAGTTCCCTCATGAGGGGCTTTCATTGAAAACATTTGGAGGCCCCAATTGCTATTGTTGACCTTCTAAAAATACTAGTTGCCTGGTTGGCAAGGTACAAGTATGGTAATCGGAGCAAAGTTGTAAGGCCTTATGCACATATTTGTTCCAGGTGAACGACTCAAATTATGGAAACGAGAGGGTCAACCAGCCAATTGGAGAGGTCATCTATAGCGGCCTCCATAGTTCCCTCATGAGGGGCTTTCATTGAAAACATTTGGAGGCCCCAAATGTCCATTTAAAATCTTTAGGTTCTCTTGCTTAGTTTTAGCTGCCTTTTGTGGTGTATAAAGGAAAATCCGATCTGCCAGGACCCTGAATCCCACATTAGATCCCACATTAGATTCCACATTAGAACCCACATTAGATCCCACATTAGATCCCACACATTAGATTCCACATTAGATCCCACATTAGATTCCACAGTAGATCCCACATTAGATTCCACATTAGATTCCACATTAGAGCCCACATTAGATCCCACATTAGATCCCACATTAGATTCCACATTAGATCCCACATTAGATCCCACATTAGATCCCACATTAGATTCCACATTAGATCCCACATTAGATTCCACATTAGAGCCCACATTAGATCCCACATTAGATTCCACATTAGATTCCACATTAGATCCCACATTAGATTCCACATTAGATCCCACATTAGATCCCACATTAGATTCCACATTAGATTCCACATTAGATCCCACATTAGATTCCACATTAGATCCCACATTAGATTCCACATTAGATCCCACATTAGATTCCACATTAGATCCCACATTAGATTCCACATTGGATCCCACATTAGATCTCCACGGATGGCAACGGAAAGGGAAAAAATGTGAAGCTTCTTCTCTAGTTTGCTCTAAGGAGTTACAGTATTTTTAAGTAGAGGGTGAAGGCAGCCTAGGGTGACAACACTGTTCTTCCATAGATACAGCAGAGTGAGCGTTGTCACCCTACGACAGGAAGTTCTGTAACTGGCAAGGTCACCAGGTGTTGCTATACTTTTCTTTATTCTGATTCCCAGTTGAGCCAACCGATCAACTTTTCGCCAGTTACAGAATGGTCCTGGTGGTTTCAGGAGTTTTGTGTCCCCGTTTTGGCCTTCACGCTTGCAGCCAGCGCCCATTTGAGGGTTAAATTTCTGTTTACGCCAAGCGTTGCGCCTGCCAGTTCCAATTCCGTTCTAATTCTGGTGATACTGTTTAGCTTCAGGCTCTGAGTTTATTGTTTATTGGCAGCTTCTTCGGCCACGTGGAGGTTTCCCGTAGAGAGGACCAGCCACCATCAGGCTTATCTGAAAGCCATAAAGGAAAACTGCGCTGAGAAACTGCCTGACCTTCTTTTGAAAAATGCCGCCTGCCTGGCTGTTGAGGTGAACGTTTCGATATGCTCTGAGTTACCGGGCAGATCAGGGGCTCTCACTGTGCTTTGACTTCACTGGCTGCATGCTTTATCAGAAAGTAGAGTCCAGAGAGAGAGCGAGGCAGCTATCCTTTTAGAAGGACTCTTTGCCTCTTTGGGTACAGGATTCCTATAGATGACTACAATCAGGCAGGTTCTCTTTAATATATGCACCCCCTTATGTAACCCATGCCTGACACCCCATTTTTAGCATCAGGGGTCAGAGGTCACCTGAAATGATCCATATATTTAACTTTTTTTATATGTATCCAACCACTTCAGTTTGAGACCAAGGAAAGGTCAAATATGGCTCTGGGCGCTGATCTTTAGCCAATAGAAAGAGTCATTATTGGAGCCTAAGGGCTTGGGGTTCAGCAGATCTCCACAAAACGGCCCCCCCAAGAAGGTAGGGGGTCACCCAAAGTGAGAAGTCCACAAGTAATGAAGCCAATAAGAGTGCCAAAAGAACGTCTAGGGAGTCCAAAGCCCAATATTGTGTTCATAAGTGACAACAGGAAAGGAAAAAGGTGACCTACGCGTTTCGTCAGGGCTTCTCCAATGGAATCAAATCCAAAGCTCCCGGGCAGGAGGTAAGTCAGCGAGTGATCATGCTAGGATCCACGGCACAAATAATCGACCTCTGGAGCCGAGGGAGCTTTTCATTCCGTTAGACACATTGATACATTGTACAAGCCCTGACGAAGGGGGATTTCTTTGGTGCCAAAATGCGTTGGATGCAGGGGCGGACTGACCATTCGGGCTCTCGGGCACTCCCCAAGGGCCCAAGGTCAGCAGGGAGCCCCATGAGATGCCTGGTACCTTTCATAGGCTTTTTTGGGTGTGGTTTGAGGGTGGGCGAGGACACAGGGGCCCCATGATTCCCTATTGCCCGGGGGCCCCATGAGTTTTCAGTCCGCCCCTGGTTGGATGCCTTCTGCTTTCTCTCACTTGTGAAAATAGTAGAGGGCTTTGAAGTCCGAAGTCATTTGTTAGACGCTCCTATTGGCTCAATGGTGTCAGTGACCACTTGATGTCTGACAGTTGCCCAATCGACTGCCTTGCCTTACATGCTGTCTCCCAACCTCACAGTGTGCACAGCAACATCAAATCACAGCGCCCCCTAGCTGTTTACATTCGTCCTAGCTCTGCGGCTCTGTAATTCGATGGTGTTATGCCCACTCAGCAATTAGAAGATAGCATGTAATGTCTGACTGTTGACTTTAGGTGACCCCCAACAGCTCCTCAAAAGGCTCACTTTGATTTCACCGCACACTGCGAGCTCCTCACAATGTGCATTAGAAGCTGCAGCCAGTCAGACAGAGCTTCGCCTCATTTCCTGGCCGGAGGTCATCCAGCATCATCTAGCCCAGGGGTGTCAAACTGGCGGCCCTCCAGCTGTTGCCAAACCACAAGTTCCATCATGCCTCGGCCTTTGGGAGTCATCCTTGTAATTGCCGGCCTTGCAAGGCATCATGGGACTTGTAGTTTGGAAGCTGGAGGGCCGCCAGTTTGGCACCCCATTTCTAGCCCTTTCCTCCCTAGCCTGGCCCTTTCATTCATTGGACCTCA